ACATTGCAGGTAGTTGTTATTTTTGTTGTTCATTTTTATTATTACTATTATTTTGTAGTAGTAGTAGTAGTAGTAGCAGTAGTAGCAGTAGTAGTAGTAGTAGTAGTAGTAGTAGCAGCAGCAGTAGTAGTAGTGGAAGTAATAATTCTAGCGACATCTGTGGTAGTAGTCGTAGTAGTTAGTAGTAGTAGTAGCAGTAGCAGTAGTAGTAGTAGTAATTGTAGTAGTAGTAGTAGTAATAGTAGTAGTAGTAGTAGTGGTAGTAGAAGAAGTAGAAGTAGTAGTAGTAGTATTAGAAGAAGTAGTAGTTGTAGTAGAAATTCATCATCATCACCATCATTGTCATCATCGTTATCAGGAATCCACACATACTACCACAATCATCCGAGAGGTTCATCGCTGAACTTGGATTTACGGTAAGATTGTATGTTTGTTTGTATGTATGTTTGAATGTTTGTTTGTATGTATGTTTGTTTGTATGTATGTTTGTTTGTATGTTCGTTTTTATGTATGTTTGTTTTTATGTATGTTTGTATGTTTGTTTGTATGTTTGTATGTATTTTTGTATGTATATTTGTATGTGTGTGTGGGTATGCGTGTGTGTGGGTATGTGTGTGTCTGTTTTTGTTTGTTTGAATGTATATTGTTACACACATATAGTCATACAAACACACATACAAACATTCACATACACAAAAACATACACACAAGCATACAAACAAATATGCATACAAACGTTCATTCATACATACACATCAAGGAAGATTCATTTGCCAGCGTTGAAGAGGTACCAACTGCTGAACCCGTAAGAAGGGCAACTTTTTCTGGGGGTGAGTTTTAAACATCTAACTAATTTCAAATTCATCTTTTTATCATTTTGATGCGATCAATAATAAACCTCAAACACCTTTCTTTTTGGAAAACAGGTGAAATACCAACTGCAAATACTCCGATACCGCAACCAGCTACCACGCAACTGCAACAGCAACCAGCAACTGTCGTTGTCTCGCCACCGTCGCCGCAACCACAGCAACCGCAACCGCAACTGCAACAAGCTACTACTACTACTTCTACCACTACTACTGCTGTCGTTGCTAATAAACTTCCCGAGCCTATTACTGTTTCAGTATGGTTGTTTATATAATTTTCTAAAATACTCCTACTACTACTACTACTACTACTACCACTACTACTACTACCACCACTACTACTACTACTACTACTACTACTACTACTACTACTTCTACAACAACTACTACTACCACCACCACTACTACTACTACTACCACTACTACTACTACTACTCCTGATGATGATAACAAATCCGACCAATCAGAACCCGGCTGCTAACCACGTGATTCAAACGAGCCATGACGTCATTAAGTACAACACGCTATCGCACGTGCCGAGAACTGCAACGGAAGTGCTGGAGCAACTGCCCGAGAGAAGTGGGAGTGGGATTTGTGTGGGATTGTGTGGGATTTTGTGGGATTGTGTGGGATTTTGTGTGGGATTTGTGTGAGATTTGTGTGGAATTTGTATGGATTAAGAATTGAATGAATTGAAAAAAAAATAAATTTTGGAGGAATGATAGAAAAAATTATTAAATTACAAAGTCTGGAATGGAAACTGATCAACCGATTGCAAAAGTTTTATAATAAAACCACTTGAATCTACCAAACATTCCTCAACCAACCAACTCACCAACCAACCAACTCACCAACCAACTAACTCACCATCCAACTAACCAACAAACCAACTGATCAACCAACCAACCAACCAACTCACCAACCAACCAACCAACCAATCACAGACGAGGATTTAAGATCGGCCCTCTTCCAGCTAAAAGCAGTCCACCCTTTTAAGGCCTCAAACGAAAGCCAGCTGACCATAGAGGCCGGTGACGTCATAAGCGTTTACGATGACGTCAACCAGGGTGGATGGATTTTTGGACTGAATGAAAATACCAACAGGTTTGTGGCTGCTGCTGCTGCTTCTATTACTACAAATACTTATTACAATGAACTTGTTGCTACTGTTGCTGCTTCTATTACTACAAATACTATTACTAATAACTTGTCGCTACAATAGCTGCTTTTATTACTACAAATACTATGACTAATAACACTATTAATTATAATTATAATAATTATAATTATTAAACTTGTTATTATTAAACTTGTCGCTACTGTTGCTGCTTTTATTACTACAAATCTTATTACTAATAACACTATCAATTATAATTATAATAATTATAATAATTATAATTATATTAATTATAATTATAATTATTTTATTATGACGTCAGGATTGGTTGGTTTCCATTTTCTTACACTCAGGTTGCTGAACTGGAGTCACTGAAGACTCTTAGCGAGAGGTTGAAACGTAGTTATAATAAAAATTATCAATAGAAATAACGTTGATATTAATTATTATTACTATAATTATTATAACATTTATAATTATTATTACTATAATTGTTATTATGATAATTATAATTATGACGTCATCGCCGGGGCACAGACTGGCCAATTTGGAGGATGTGTTTGTGAAGAGAGGTAGCCGGTCGCTCCAAGAATCTCCCAACTTCAATGATGCAAGATACAGAGTTAGTGCCTGTGACAATGACGATGATAATGAAGATATTTATTATTATTATTATTATTGTTGTTATTGTTGCTGTTGTTGCTGTTGTTGTTGATATTGTTGCTGTTTTTGTTGTTGTTGTTGTCATAATAACCTTATTATCATTATTGTTGTTGTTGTTGATGTTGTTGTTGTTGTTGCTGTTGTTGTTGTTGTTGCTGTTGTTGTTGTCATAATAACCTTCGAAGTATTTTAAAGTGTACTTGGTAAATTATTTCCACGATCATAACCGCATCACTCCATCATCACCACCAACACTATCATCATCATCATTATCATTTTCTTCTAGATCTGCAAGATCATCATCATCATCATCATCATCACATCATCATTATCATCATCACCACATCATCATCATCATCTTCATCACATCATCATCACCACCACCACATCATCACTACCACTACCAGAAATTAATGGTGGGAGAAAAGGCAGACGAGGTACCTCCTCCACCAGATAAGTTTTCTGACGTGTCAAGGTCGTCCCAGCACGGTTCAGAGTACGAGGCCCAAGTGAACAAGAGTGACGAGTATGGTAAGTTGGGGCTGGCTGGAAATTTTTCTAAAGTTTTTTGGTTTCTATTTTGTAAAAGTTATTGTGCGGAATGATTTGTTAGCTGTGGAGATATTTATTTGGAGGTGGGAGTAATGTTCGAAGGTTCAATTCCTGAGTTTAGTCTCATTAAGTTGGCTGGTTTTTTTAACATAGAGTCCAGTAAGAGAGAAAAATTCCTTTCAAATGTTTCAAATAGTTCAATTTGCTTTTAATTTATTTTTTAATGATTTTCTGTATAAATTTTGAAAAATTTTTTATTTAAATTTGGAAAGATAATGTGTAACAATTTTTTTTTAACTTTTTAGAATTTTTTTACCTCGCGTTTCAATTTTAAAATATTTCAAAATAATTCCCAAAAGCGCTCAACGACAGAACCCAATTCAATTAACATAATTTATTAATGATAACATAATTATTAATGTTAATTTAATAATTATCATAATAAATGTAGTAGTAGTAGTAGTAGTAGTAGTGGTGAAGTTTTTTGTCTGTCTATTTAATTGTTATGCATTTTGGATTTAAACTCCATGGTAATGAATGTTGAAGCATGTTTGACTGAGCTGCATGTCTGCTTGCTTTCTCAATCTCTCTCATTAACACGCCTGGCTACCACTCTTGTGTTTTCCTTGCCACAGCTTCATCGTCGTCATCGTCACCATCATCTTCACCACCATCATCATCACCATCATAGTCATCAGCATCATCATCATAGCCATCATCATCATCATCATCACAGTCATCAAATTATCATCATTAGCGTCACCAAGAGAATGTTCATCATTTCGTTCATAATTAACACGTCTAAATTCTAAATTTAACAACCACACAGACATAAACGCTGATAAAAACCCAGACAAAAACACAGACACATATGAATGCACATACACACACACACACACACACAAACAGACAAATTACCACAAACACCCGCACCCAACCATTCACACAAGTCGAGACAGACAAAGACAGCCAAACGATGAAACTGATCAGACAGCAGGCCAGACATATGGTCCCAGACGAGACACGCTACGACGCATACTCGAGTCTGCGTCTCAAAACCCTCCCGCCGTCTCTCCCACAACAAATTTCGGCCTCACCAAGACGCTCGGCCTCGCGAACCCACAACTACAGCAGCCACCTTTCGGGGACACTTGGCAAGACCCACAGAAGTCTAGGGGCCCTCTATAGCGAGAATTTAATGAGAGATTTATCGCATGGGCCACCCCCACCTCCCCCTCCTTTGCCCCTTGATGTTCAGATCAAGTTGGTTGTGTGTGTGTGTGTGTTTGTTTACGTCTTTGTATGTGTTTTTTTTGTCTGTGAGTGTGTGTGTATGTTTGTTGGTGTGTGTGTGTGTATGTGCGTGTTTAATTTGTGTTCGTTAGTTTACTAAGTTTAGGCACTAAATGAAACATTTTGAGTTGGGTTTTTTGTCATTTATGAGGCGCATTATTTTTCAAGTGCATACAAAGTTTTGGGACGAAAAAAAAAACTCGACAGCAAAATAATTTAAAAAAAAAAAATAAAACCTACCCGTTAAAGTTTGAGTACTTTGGAAGATATTTCAAAAACCTATAAATTCACCACCGCTCTTGTAACTGTCATCATCATCATCATCATCTCCATCATCATCATCATCTCCATCATCATCATCATCTCCATCATCACCATCATCTCCATCATCATCATCATCTCCATCATCATCATCATCTCCATCATCATCATCATCACCATCATCATCATCATCATCTCCATCATCATCATCATCTCCATCATCACCATCATCTCCATCATCATCATCACCATCTTTGTCGTCATCATCATGGTCGTCGTCGTCATCATCGCTCTGGTCAGCTTCATCATCTCAATTTCGAAATATCGTCTCGTTATAATTAGTTCCATCATAATATAAAAATAAATAATAAAAATAATAATAATAATAATTATTATTATTATAATTGTTATTATTATTATTATTATTATTATTATTATTCACCAATATTTTCCCCACAGGTAGATGACGGGATAGAATCATCATCATGACCAAAACTCTGAACTAATTAACTAATTAAAATATTCAATTAATTAAATCTAATCTAATTAAACCTTCAATTAACTTTCGTTGTTGATAATAATTAAAATTGCAATTAAATTAATCACAACAGAGCGTATATTAGCATTTTATAATATTATCACATGGCGTATAACACACACTCATACACACACACACATACACACACTCATATACACACATACATACATACACACATACATACACACACATACAAACTTATACATACAGATAGAAAGAGAGACAAACAGATAGAGAGATAGATTAACATAGTGCCTTCAGCATTTTTACCATCCAATGTTTCATAATTTTCATTTTGTGGTCATTCATAACTTTAACAAGTGCATTTAGATAATTTTGCTTCGATATGTTTGACCAAACACACACAGACACACACACAAACACACACAGATACAGACACACAAACACACACACAGACATATATATATATACACACACACACACACACACACAGGTCTATACAATTATATACAATCATCGTAATGTTTTTTTTATTTAAATTTGCTTAGCGTTTGAGTCATATATATATATATATATCTATATATATATATATATATATATATATATATATATATAATTCATTATTAATTTCAAATTATGCCATAAGTTTGGTTGCGGTATAATATTATTTGCTTTACTTTTGTAATTTTACTAAGACGGTACGTAGTTTTTAAATTTACCAATCAATAAATCAATCAATCGAACGATCGATCGATCGATCAATCAATCAATCAATCAATCGATCGATCGATCGATCGATAATTCAATCAATCAATTTATTAAGCCGCTTATTGTTCTATCATTGTTTGTTGTCAAAGTTTATGTTCTAGTTCTTTTGTTTAGAATTATTTTAAATAAATAATAAATAAATAATTAATTAAATAAAAAATGTTTTGATAAATTCATTTATTTGTTTTATTTTCACTTATTTGTTTAGTTCAATTTTTGCTTCTGATATTATTGACTATACTTCATGGTCAGAGAGTTAACACTATTATAAATATATATCATATTTATACATTTAAAAAAATAATATTAAGACAAATAATTGGTACAAATAATAATTATTATTATTATTATTATGTATTTTCGAAAGTTATGCCAACATTTCTGATGAGTTGTTTGAGATTTTCACAAATTTTTAAATCATTGTTCTTTTTGGTAATAAAAATTCAAAATTTTAGTTTTTCGCTTTTTAAAATTAAAAATGACAATTTTTTAAAACAATATGATAGTAATATGTAGTATTTAATGTAAATAATTGATATAACTAATGATAATAATAATGGAAAAATTGTTTAAATAATGATATATTTCCAATGTAGCATAGGTTATGGCACAGAAATATTGAACAAAAATTAAAACGCCCATCCCTATCATAAAAATCAAAAAGTAAATTCGATATATAAATTTGGTTGTTTTGCTAATTCATAACCAATTTTCTCCTAATTCATCAATAATTTAATAATTTTCATTTATATTTTTCCTAAATTGATTAGTAATTTAAGTCACATCAAACATGAGAATTACGGTTACGACTCTGTCTGATAATATTTTCACGTTTGAAGTAAACTCTGATCTGGATTTGTCCAGTTTGAAAAATCTTTGTGCCCTGGAAAGTGGCTGGCCTGCTAATCAAATCGTTCTCCTCCTTAATGGACGGCCATTAACTGATGACGCAAGTTCGTTCGGTTTTTATTTTTTTTGTTTATTTTTAACTTTTATTTTAGCTCTTAGTTAGAATGTTAGACAACTTTTTATTCTTGCATTGTCTATTCGAGATTTTACCCAATTTTTTCTGTTATTGAGTTTGTTCTTGGTGTTTTATTCTTTTTAAAACTTATTTCCACTGATAATTTAACTTCAAAGAAAAGCTGAAAGACTATAAAATTACGAATGGTGAAATGTTGCTGATGCAAAGGATTCAAGAACAACGACAGGACCAACAAAGAAATATGATGCCATCTGGATCTGGATCTGGTGAGTAAAGTCATTCATTCATTCATCCATTCATTCATTCATCCATTCATTTTTTCTAAAAAAAGGTAAATCACATTAAAAATTAAATCACATTAATATCTAAAACCAACTTTAATTGGACATTTAACTAACACTTTTCAAATGACAACAAATAGTTCCAGCCCCGTTTATAGACTTTGGTAGCATCCCTATTCCCGGGGCGACCTCGACCTCTCAATTAAATGCCTCTCAGTCACTGGCCAGTCAGGGGTCACCTGACCTGTCAGATCCGGCGACAATTAGGGAAATCTTACTAAACAGTCCCCACGACCTCGCTCTCCTTAGGGAGAGGAATCCACCACTCTATGAAGCTCTTACTAGTGGCAGTATAGGTCAGTTAATAATAATAATAATAAAAACAACAACAATAATAATAAAATATACCATAATAATAAAATATGCCATAATATAATTAAAATTGTAATAATGATGATAATTATTATTGTTGTTAATTTTTTTTCATAATTGTAGCCAAGTTTACACAAGTATTACAAAGGCAAAGGCAAGAAAAACAACAGGCTAGTCTTGATACTTGTGATGATTTACATACATAAATACATACATACATACAAATGTATTATATATGTATGTATTCATTATGTATCAATTCAATTCAATTCAAAAATAAACAAACATACAAACATACATGCATACATACATACATACATGCATACATACATACATGCATACATACATACATGCATACATACATACATACATACTTACATACATACATACATACATGCATCCATACATACAAACAAACATACATACAAACATACATGCATATATTAACACACCTATACATTCAAACATACAAATATTTAGAGAGATGAAGAGAAAATGAGGCTGATGTTATCAGATCCATTTGATTCAGATGCTCAAAGAAGGATTGCTGAGGAAATAAGGTTTGTACATTTTATTTGTTGCTTGTATGTATGTTTTTGTGTGTTTATTTGTTTGTATTTGTGTGTGTGTATGGGTTTGTATGGCACACACAGAGAGACGCACACATAATCACACACACACACACACACACACACAGATTGAAGAATATAGAACACAACATGGAGACAGCTATTGAATATGCGCCAGAAAGTTTTGGCCAGGTCTCCATGCTCTACATTGACTGCGTTGTCAACAACCATCCAGTCAAGGCCTTCGTTGACTCTGGTTTGTATTTTTTTGTACATATGTACATGTACATGTACAATGCACTCACATTCTAATTTCTCTCTCTCTCTCTCTTTCTCTCTCTCTCTCTCTCTCTCTCTCTATCTATCTATCTATCTATCTATCTATCTATCTATCTATCTATCTATCTATCTATCTATCTATCTATCTATATATTATATATATATAATATCTATATAATCTATATAATATCTATATAAACATTTTTTCCATTTCCAGGTGCCCAGATGACAATAATGAGTCAGGATTGTGCTGAAAGATGCAACATAATGCGATTGGTGGACACAAGATGGGCGGGCGTGGCCAAAGGCGTGGGTGTCCAGGCTATCATTGGGAGAGTTCATTTATGTGAGTTGTTTCAGGGGGGTGTTCAAATGAACTCCTGCTGTATGTTGCTATGTAGTGTGTACTGTGTTTTTAATTTGTGTTTGCGTTAACATCATACAAGCGCGTCATGTATACACTCACAAACACACTCACACACACACATGCACGAGCAGGCCAGATAAAAATAGGCAGTCTATTCCTCCAATGTTCATTCTCCATACTGAAAGATCAGTCAATGGATATGCTGCTGGGACTTGATATGCTGAAGAGGCACCAGGTACTAATACAACGCACATATTAAAACACACACACACACATATATATCCACAGACAAACACACACACACATACATACATACATACATACCCACACACACACATGCATACATACATACATACACATACATACAAATCGACCAACAGTGCATACTAGACTTGATGAATAACGAACTGGTGATTGGGTCGACTGGCACTCGAACGAAGTTCCTCTCCGAAGCTGACATGCCAGCATGTGCCAGGTCCATCGACCGATCCATCCTCACCCCAGATGATGACGACCACTTGCTACAGGAGGCTCTTGTGAGATCTCAGGAAGACTGTAAGTTGTTGTTGTTGTATGTGTGCGTACGTGTGTGTGTTTGTGTGTCCGTTTGTCTGTGTGATAAGAATTTTATTTCTAGATTAAACCTCTATCGCCGATTTAATCATTCATTCCCACACAGCCAAATCCAAAAAGCAGCAACAGCATTCTTCTGAGCAAGCGGTGACGTCACCATCAGCAACCGGGGGGACCTCAGCAGCTGGTGGGCCCGCCACATCTTCCCGCCAATTCCTAACGAACAGGCGAGATTTTCCAGAAACCTCTATAAGCGTCCTTACAAATCACGGGTTCTCCAGGAAGGATGCTATTGACCAGCTGCTGATGTCCAATGGAAACGTCGATGAGGCCCTGGCCGCTTTGATCGCTAAATCATTTATGGATTAGGATAACACACACGCACGCACACGCATAAAACATACACCACCTGACTTTTTAGTGTGTCTTGCAAGTTAATAACTTAACTGTTTGATAGATGCTTTCTGAGTGCCTATTCCTATGATTGAACCGTTTTTTCGCCATAATATTTTATTATTTGTTATTATTCCTATTATCATTTATTATTATTCCTATTATTATTGTTATTATTCGTATTTATTTTTATTATTATTAGATTGAGAATGCATGTGTTAAATGATGTTATTCCAATTCTAATTTGATAATTGATTTTTTTTTTACGTTTAAAAAATCTATCTATAATCTATTTTGAAGATATGTAATGATTTGAATAATAAGTGTTTGTTTAAGTATGTATGCGTGTTTAAGTATGTCTGTACGTATGTGTTTGTTTATGTATGTATGTGTGTGTGTTTGTGTCAAATATGTGTGTGTGTGTATGTATGTGTGTGTGTTTGTGTCAAATATGTTTGTGTATGTATGTGTATGTGTGTGTGTCGGTAACGCGTTCTGAAGTTTAATTTAAAATAATTGATAAATAACTTTCGGCAATACAAAATTGTCCTCGTTTGAAAGTACACACATGAATGATTGTTGAATCGAATTAGAGTAGCAAGAATAATAAGAAATAAATAAATAATAATCATAATGATAATAATAATAATTAATAATAATAATAAATAATATAGGCGATAACGTTTTATCATTATTTCAGCATTTGTGTTGCACAGACTTCTGTCATAATTTATTATTATTATTTTATTATATCTATTATAATTAATGAATAATTGATTTTAAACTGACTTTCCTTTGATGACCAGCAGTCAGTTGATGGCAATGCCGTTGAGTGAAAAGTTTTTTTTTATTTTCCTTCAAAAAATCTCAAGGTAGTATAAATAAATAAATTGTGTTGTGTTTACGTTACGTTAGTAGTAATACAGTAACTGTCGTCGTTGTCATCATCATAACCAGTTACGTCATCTCCATCAGTTACGTCATCATCATCGTCATCACACAGGTCATCATTATCATAAATTATTTCATCACTTTCGTCAGTCATCATGACGTCATCACTTCTCTTCCATCCTCTTCCTCCTCTTCCTCATAACCGTCGAGGCATTGCCCACAAAGGTGGGGCGTTTCGGGGGCTCCCAATTGAACCCCTTAATTTCCACCCTCTCCCGCGGTAGAACCCTCGTAACGATTCCAGTTACAGTGGTCATCGTTGCCTCCCTGATGAAAAACCTTTGACCCTCTTTCAGAACCATGGGTTTTCTGAGGTATATTTTGGCAATTGTGATGTCACCGGGCATTGCCATGGACTTGTGGGTGGCCTCGTTTTCTGGGGTGGCTTGAGTAACGTTTCTACTCTGTGGGGTCGTTGTCGAGTTCTTGTGAGAGGATTGCGCGTCATCTTCGCTTGGACTTACTGCGTGTGTTTGTGATTTTGATGGCTGTAGTTGATTTGTTAGTGGCGAATGCTGTTGCTCGTTGATTGCTTCTTCATTCTTCATTTCATAAACATCATTACTATGATCTCTAGCTTCAAAATCACCCACAAAACAACCGTAACCATCATCGTCAGCGCTATCTTCTTCATCTCCGTCCAGCAAATTTACCTGGCAAGCAATATTCCAAGTGTCGACAAATATATTTCCATTGTACCCCGTCGTGATGGGCTTGGAACGCCCGCCTTCTGACCTTTTCTGCACGTATATACGACCGATAAAGGCCTCAACCTGGGTGGGCGGTTCGCGACTGCTCACGGCTCCGAAAACGAACATACCCCTGTCTACTAATTCTTTCTTGATGCCCCTTAGAAGGATGCCCACATTGTCACCTGCAACGGCTGTGGGGACTGATTTCTTGAAAATCTGAGAAGGTTTTTGAGGTGACGGTTTATAAATTAAGAGATTAAGAAAGAAACGCTAGATAATTATGAAACTTTGGAGGAAGTCACAAAGAGAAGACCTGCAAGTCGGAAGCCACAGATCTGATTTCATTACCGAAGCCAACGACAAAAATTTGGTCACCCTTGTTCAGAGTACCCCTTCTGACGGTGCCCACCACTACAGTCCCTCTCCCTGTTTGTGATTTGTTGGTTGGTTGGGTGGGTGATTGATTGATTGATTGGAATTTGATTAAATGGTTGAAATAAATGAATAAATTTAGAAAACCTTGCACAGTAAATGCACTGTTGATTGGCATTAGGAATGTACCCTCTGAAATTCTCTCTGGAACCTTTTAAAAATGAATGAATGAAAGAACGAATGATTGAATAAATAAATGAATGATTGAATGAATGAATGAACGAATGAACGAGCGAACGAATGACCATATGAACAAATGAATTTAACAGCAACCTTTATATGAGAATCGAGGGCTTCCATCAGCTGCCTAATTGACTTCTCTCCAATTTCAGGATTCTTGTTTTCCAGGGCACTGAGGGCTGACCCAAAGATGAAGGGCACTTTGGAATCATCATACCCCATCTGATTAAGAGGGTAGAATAATAAGGTTGATGCTGTTGATAGCAACTGCCATAAGAGCATAGGTGGAAAGAAAAATATTACAAAATTAAAACATTCCTACCAGCACTAACTTCATTAAGCAATTCAGCAATCTCTAACTGAACCAGCTCAATGGTTTCTTTATCAACAACGTCAGCCTTATTTACAAATACCACAATGTCCTTGACACCAATCTGCCTAGCCAATAGGAGGTGTTCTCTTGTCTGAGGCATGACACCATCTGTTGCAGCTACCACTAATATTGCTCCATCCATTTGTGATGTTCCCATGATCATGTTTTTGATGAAGTCGATGTGACCAGGGCAGTCTGTGTGGGCGTAGTGGCGAGTTTTGGTTGAGTATTCGACATGGCAGGCATTGATTGTTATTCCTCGAGCCTTCTCTTCCGGAGCCTTGTCAATCTGATCATAGGCCAGGTATCTGATTAAATATGGTTTATTAGTGTGGGTAGGAATCATGAGAAACCGAAAATACATTTTCAAATGAAGCAATTAATATTAAAAAAGAAGTTAATGTTTTTTAAATAAATTTACTTTGTTAATCCATCTCTTTCCAGGACTTTAGTGATAGCAGACGTGAGTGTTGTCTTTCCGTGATCAATGTGGCCAATTGTGCCGATGTTGAGGTGAGGCTTTGTGGCGCTCCTCACGTCGGCATTGTTAGCATCTGATGATGATGATGATGATGATGATGGAGCTGCTGAAAATTTTAGTGAAGATGTGCTGCTGACGAATTTCTCGAAATAAATACGTTTACTGATTTTATTATTTAACCGGAATGATGACAGTGTTAATTTAGTGAACGACCTCAAAAAAATCATGATTTATTTTTATTATTACAAATTTTTTTTTGCAAATTTAAACTGACTAAATACTCTTTTTTAAAACACATCTAGAGTTTAAATGACTTAGCAGAAGTTTACTTTTAGCTAGTAATAACAAATGTTTAAAAGTTGAGCCTAAAAATATTTCACACAAAACTCATAAAACCTACATTATTCCGCACTAAAATACTAATTAAACTTAAACTATCTACATAATAAAATTAAACACTTATTAACTAAAACAATAAATCTCACAAAATTCACATTTTGTGAATGTCAAACTCATTAATGAATGATAATTAATCGAAACTTAGTACATAGCTAGATATCTAAGTTGTTGAATTTGTAGCATAAATGTCAAGAACTAATGTATATATATATATATATATATACATACAATATATATATATATATATATATATATAATATGTATATACATATCGTTAATTTTTAGTCTATATAGAAAGAATAAATTAAAAATGATAATAGGTTGGCATGTTAAATAAATGTATGGGAATAACTAACTATGTATTATTATTATGTTATTCACTCTATTGACATTCCTCAGAGGATTGTACTGTGATTAAATGCTTTTGTTAAACAAATTACTTTTTAACTCTCTTCTGAAATCTTTTTCTGGAACGATTTGTTTCTATCTTGTTGGAAGATCATTCCATACCTTGGGCAGAGCAACCTGAACACACCTTTCACCCGGTTTTGCCCTGATCCTAGGTATTACCATCATTTCTGAGAACTTTGTTATATGGGAATGAATTTTTCTTATAACAGCTAGCTATAATCACCGTTATTGTTGTGGTTGTTGTCGTTAATTTAAAAAAAGTATTATTTAAGCTAGTAAAGTATTAGCTACTGCAGATGCAGCAGCAGCAGCAGCAGCAGCAGCAGCAGCAGCAGCAGTAGTAGTAGTAGTAGTAGTAGTAGTAGTAGTAGTAGTAGTAGTAGTAGTAGTAGTGGTAAAAGTATAGTATTAGTAGTCGTAGAAGTAGTAGTAGAAGTAGTTGTTGTTGCCCTTACTAAAATTTAAGATTTAGTAGTATCATAGTATTACGTATATATTTTGTAATAGTGTTAAATACTGCAATTTTTCTATTGCATATATTTTTAGTATCAGCTAGTATATATACATTCAGTTTTTTAAAAATAATAATAATATCATAATAATTTTTATTATTGTTATTATTGTTTGGAGAGAAAGAGAGAGAGTTTAAATGAGAAATATTGATATTTGCTCTGTTAGTTAAGTTAAGCAATTCAACTAGCCAAGAAATAGGTGAGTATGTGTTTGGTTACACTAAATTTATTTTATAACTTCATTTTTTCGTTCGTTCATTCATTCGTTTGTTCGTTTGTTCGTTCATTTTTCCCCTACTCGTTTTAAACTTAAACTCGTTATTGAAATTTTGTATGTTCCTTCCTTCGTTCCATTCCTTCAAAAAATCATTATCATCATCATCATCATCATCAGGATGCTCACATTCCGAAGCCTAGTCCAGAAACATCGTTACCATCACCAGCCAAACTCGGAAAACGAAAGTGGAGACAGTGGAAATCCCACAAGTTTTAAAAATAGACATCACACGGAAGATGACCACTACGGAGTTATGAAACTGTTCGAAGATGGTGGGAAATATTATTATTATTGTTGTTGATGATGTTGTTGTTGATGTTGTTGTTGTTATGTTGTTGTTGTTGATGTTGTTGTTGATATTGTCGTTGTTGTTTTGTAATTATAGCCTTTAAAGGATCTTATAATAATGGAGAGAGTTAATTATAAATAAATACCGTTTTTTATAATTATATTCATTCATTCGTTCGTTTGTTTGTTCGTTCATTCATTCATTCATTCTTTCAACCATCTATTCTTTCATTCATTCATTCATTCATCCATTCATTAACCAACAAAATTCTCCCATGTGCTGCTTTAAGTTTACATAGAGACAAATGAAACAATAAACGAACGAATAAACGAATAAATGAATGGACGAATAAATGAATGAATCAATGAACGAATGAATCAATCAATCACTCAATCAATCAGACGAACTTGACCAATCAGCAGCAGCTGCCAAAAAAACGGCAGCAGAGAAGACCAGACTATTGAATGCAAAGAGAAAATTTCGCGGATTTGTCCTGAAGGAACTAACAATTGATAGGTTTGAGGTCTGTGGCGTTGTGGATGAATGCATGAATGAATGAATGAACGAACGAACGAACTAACGAACGAACGAACAAACGAATGACTGAATGAATGACTGAATGGCTGAATGAATGAATGAATGAATGACTGAATGAAAGAGTAAACGAATAAACGTGTAAATAAATGAAATATCGAAAGGCCAAAGGATAAATCCGAAAACGAACTCTTAAAGATAGTGATAATGACCACACAAATAGAAATTGATAGTAACTGAATTTTATCTTCTATTAAAAGTAAATTTGAATGTTTGAATGGATGGTTGAATGAATGAATTAATGAATGAATGAACGAACGAACGAATGAATGAATGGATAAATGAATGAATGAACAAACGAACGAACGAATGAATGAATGAATGAACGATGGAAAACACAAAAACGTCAGAAGCACACGAAAAATTTACGTACTGAAGGAAGATAGAGACAGAGAGGTAGAGAGAGAAGATAGAGAGAGAAGATAGAGAGAGAAGATAGAGAGAGAGAGAGAGAGAGAGAGAGAGAGAGAGAGAGAGAGAGAGAGGCAGAAAAATTGAAATATAGAATATAGACACAGCCTTCCACCAAGTGATCTTAACTAAATTATACTTTCGAACGATGAAAAATAATATAATAATTGCGAGGAACTTTCTATAAAAATAATGAGATAATAATAATAATTAATTATAAGATAAATAATAATTATTAAATAATAATCAAGTAATTAATTATTTGTTAATTTGATTAAGAGGTTAATTTGTTGATGAGTGACTGAATGAATGAATGGTTGAAAGAACGAATGCATGAATGAACGAACGAATGAATATTCATTCATTCGTATTGGCGAATGTATTGGCGATTTAATGAAGGTATTGGCGATTTAATGAATGAATGAATGAATGAACGAATGAATGAACAAACGAACGAACGAATGAGTAAGTAGACGAAATAACACTTCATACATACATTTATATATAATTGGCATGTTTTCATTGGCTGATATATTTAGAATCATACACAGGTACACTGTCTTTAATAACATCTTCCATTTACCATCTTCATCATCTAAATTAGTATAATTATATAATTAACATCATCAACACGCACAGACACACACAAAACACAGACACAAAACACATATATAAACAACACATACACACACAGACACATACAAAACACACACATACATACACACACAACACACAGACACAACAAAACACACACACATACAAACATACAAAACACACACACAACACACACACACAAACATACATACATTTTTAGAGTATTGTTTGCCTTGGGTACAACAAGGAATGCTTTGCATGTATACTAGCACAACAACGAAACATTACAAAACATATAAGAATATATATATATATATATATATAGAGAGAGAGAGAGAGAGAGAGAGAGAGAGAAAGAAAGAGATATAGAGCAAGAGAGAGAGAAAGGGAGAGAGAAGATAGATATTTCTCAAACTCGATGGTAATATTGACGGTATTGTGAGTTTGTGATGTAACTTGTGTTGAAGCAATCATACGGCATCATGTCAAGGTATTGAAGAAATGTAAGTATGCAATTGATGTTACGGTGTAACGCTATGTAATACAATAACGTAATGTGTGTACTTTACCTATACAAAAATTTGATTGATTTAAAATTATTTTCTTGTTGTTATTTAGACACACACACACACACAAACACACACACGTACGCGCACACACACACGTACTCGCACACACACACACACATATATATATATAGAAAAATATATATATATATATATATATAGATCATAATAACAACATATATATATATAGATCATAATAACAACAACAACGATAATAATAATAATAATAATAATAATAATAATAGTTATGATACTAATAATAAAAATTCCAACACGCTTAAATGTAGTAAATAAAATATTATAGGATGAAAAAAATGTTAATGATAGCCATTATGTAGATGTATATATATATATATATATATATATACATATATATATATACATATATATACATATATACATATATATATACATATATATATATATATACATATATATATATATATGTATGTATGTTTATATATATTTAAATATTTATACATATTTATTTATATTTGCTGCTAAAGTAGGTTTCGGTGTTAATCAGTTGCAGAAAATAAAAAGTTCCTCCAAATGTAGCTAAATTTTAATACTAGCATATTTCAAATATAACTAATTTAATATGGTAATATTGTGACGAAAATTACTAATATATACTTTTTATGATCGTAAAATACTAACGAGTTTATGTGTTATCGTTAATGTTGATATGTCTGTTTGGAACTCCGCTCTGGTCTTTCGGTTAAGCTGCTAACTGTTAGACGAAAATTACATGAATGAGATGGATTTCATTTGGAATATATTACTACCTGGTTGGCTGATACTGACGAGGAATTATTAATAAAAAATAGGAGTACAAAGATCAAAAACATCAACCAGCCAATCAATTCATCAACGTAAATCAACCCTACAACCGGCCAACGAATCAAATTCATCTTTCGAAACCACACCACCAACCAGCCAACCAATCAAGTTCATCCGCCAAAACCACCCCACCAACCAGCCAACCAATCAAATTCATCCGCCGAAACCACCCCACCAACCAGCCAACCAATCAAAATCATCCTCCGAAACCACCCAACCGACAGCCGGCCAATCATGAAACGCCTTCTATCAAAGCAACCCTCAAAGGCCAGCGACACTCCGTATTCGCCCGTGTCTTTAAAATTTTCCAACCGAAAATCCGGAATTTCGTTGCATAGCGCAGAATCCTTAAGCCTAAAGAGCGATCAGGCAGACTATCCACTGGGGAATAAAAAGGTCCAGAGCCCTAATCATAAAAGCCCCCGAAATGCCCCAAGAAGGGTAAAGTCTCCAAATCGGGGACAGATGCCCCAATCGACGACAATGTACTCCATGCTGTCCACGTCTTCTTTAGATTTGCAGAAGGTTTGGATGGATGGATGGATGAATGAATGGATGGATGAATGGATGGATGAATGAATGGATGGATGAATGAATGGATGAATAAATGAATGAACGAATTAATGAATGAATGAGTAAAACCGAATGAGTGAGTGAGTGAGTAACGAGTGCACGAGATTAGACCAAGTATTTGTATGCTATTTCCTTATACTTTTTTCACAATTTTTATCTTTTTAGCGGTTCATCTTTTTATCTTTCAAGACGCGAAGTTTCTCATTAAAAAATGTAAAGCCTATTGCTACTATGTGCATCATGCTTCATTCTCTGATGCAAATCACTTCATAAACATTCATCTGACATAGCTTGCTTGTTTAGTTGCTGACATGCTGGCCATTGAAGCGTCAAAAAACAATGGAATGGTATAACATGGTAGGGCATGGTATGGCATGGTAGGGCATAGTAGAGGCAGATGAGACAGAATTTCAATATGATTCTCAATTATTCAACAATTAGTACGGTTCATAACGATACGCAGGCATATCCACACACATACACACACCACACACACACACACACATCTACACACACAGACACACACACACAGACACACACACACTCTCTCTCTCTCTCTCACACACACAAACAACAACAAACAATCATACATACTCGTTAACAATATAAATGATGAGGAATTCATATTTTTAAGATCAGAATAGATTAAATATTTAATATTTGTGTGTTTGTGTGTGTGCATGTGTGTTTGTGTGTGCGTATGTATGTGAAAATATACTTTACTTGCCAATATGATGTAAGTATATCTGTAATTTTTTTTATAGTAAATCGATGGCCGACAAACATGTGTGTATGTTTGCATTGTATATTTGCTTATATGTATGCATGTATGTATGTGTGTGTGTATGTATGTGTGTGTGTGTATGTATGTATGTATATATGTATGTATGTATGTATGTATGTATGTATGTATGTATGTATGTATGTATGTATGTATGTATGTATGTATGTATGTATGTATGTATGTATGTATGTATGTATGTATGTATGTATGTATGTATGTATGTATGTATGTATGTATGTATGTATGTATGTATGTATGTATGTATGTTATGTATGTATGTATGTATGTATGTATGTATGTACATTCACACCTGCGTACATTTGTATGTATGTGTGTGCATGTATGTATGTATGTATGTTATGTATGTATAATGTTTGACCAGCTGTTGTGTTTAATGAAGATTTTTATAATGTTTGTATATGCGAAAATATATAAGTATACAGTATACACATTGTATGTACAACCATAACGTATGTATGTATGTATGTATATAGTTTGTATATAATTTGCCTGTATATATATATATATTTGTTTGTATGTTTAAATGTATGTATACATGTTTGTATATTTTTATGTATGTATGTATGTTTGTATGTATCAATATATACTGAGAAGCCAAGCAAAAAACGAAACCAACCAATACAGGTGCTGCTGTGAGGATGAATGAACGAACGAATGATTGGATGACTAAATGAATGAATGAATAAATGCCTGCATGCATGAACGAACGAACGAATGAATGAATGGAATGAATGAATGAACGAATGAATGAACGAATGAATGAACGAATGAATGAATGATGATAAATTTTTTCACCGTAATTATTCACCAGCTCTCCCCGAAGTTCAGCAAGAAAAAAGAAGAGAACGCCGTGGCCGCCAAATTAAAAAAGGCGGCGCATAATTTTGTTGAAGATGACGACATCGATTCACTTTTAAAACTAATCGAAGACTATAAATCGACGTCCCCGGAAGTGAAAGAGGTCATAGAAAAAGAGAACTGGACCTTGGAGTCCAGTATATTCAATGATACAAAAACAAACATGAACTTGTTGCACATGGCGTTGGAATATAATAAGAGGAGATGCTCCGAGTGTTTTATAAACAATTTCTCGGTAATGTACCTCCTCCATACTTACACGAATATCGAATCTCAAATACCGCCTTCGTGCAAATCCTGCCTACACATAATCGTTGAGCAAGGTATATATGTATGCATGTATGTGTATATGTACCTTTGTGTGTGTGCGTGTGTGTGCACGTGTTTATGGATGTGTGTATATATACATATGCGTGCGTGTGTGTGTTTGTATTGTATTTAAGTATGTCTTTGTGGTTATCACTGAATTATTATCGTTTGGTTGAGTACATTTAATTGATGAGGAAAGCTCTTTCACGAGAGAGAGAGAGAGAGAGAGAGAGAATGAGAGAGAGAGAGAGAGAGAGAGAGAGAGAAAGAATTATCATTATCATTACCACTTTTAATATTTTTAAAGGGAACAAAGAATTATTAGAGTTGTTCATGACGAAACTCATTCACGCATTCCCTAGAATCGAGTCGACCTTCCAGGCTATTGTTGGCTTAAATCAGTACATAGAGAAGGGCAGCTATGACAAGGTCTGTGTGGATGGAAATCATGGATAAATTAATTATAACAATTTATGAAGAACTAAAATTATGACAATTTTGTGAAAAAATAAATTATGAAAAATAAATTATGGCGAATTGAACTATATAATGGAATAATTTTTTGAAATAATTTTTAAAAGGTTAGCGAATTTATAAACCTGAAAGTCGTCGTTAAAATTATAGAGGGGAAGAGGAGATTATCGCCGGTACATCTGGCCGTTATAAATGGTTTGTAAAAGTAGTAGTGGTCGTAGTAGCAGTAGCAGTAGCTACAAAAGCTACATTAGTAGTAGTAGTAATAATAAATAATACTAACAATAATATTATCAAAAGTGTAATAAATAGTTTTATCAAATTAAATTTGTTGGATATAAAGAGGACAAAAAATTTTCAGGTCATCGTCACCTCTTCGATATAATGGAGAAGTACGAGTTTGAGATGGACGCCGAAGATGATTTCAAAGAGACCCCTCTGATGTGGGCGGTCATGAAGAGGGATTTGATTGCTTTCAACGAACTTTTACGTCTGGGGGCTGATATAAACCACGTCGACCTGTACAACTGCACCCCTCTCCACCTGGCAGTCACCTTCAACCAGCCGGAGATGGCCGAAAAACTAATCGACAATCCGAGAACCGATTTGAACGTTGAACGGATCAGAAACCCCCGCTGGGTTGTTGAAAATGTGGCCTTCCATAACTATCACCTTCTGATGAGGAAGCTGCTCCAACCGACTATCATCAAACGAATCAATCGGGAAAATATCGAGGAGGCGTTGTTCATCGCGACTAAAAACGGCTACCAGGAAACGGTTATTGAAATATTGAAGGTAGACGAGTCGTTCGTTAACATCACCGACGACCTAGGTAACACCCCAGTTCTGATAGCGGCAGACAATGATAAAGTGAATATCGTAAAACTCTTGATCGAGTCATATTCGGCCGATATAACGGTTAAGAATAACTTACTGGAGACAATTTACGACATGGCCATGAGGCAACCGACGCCAGAGGTCTTGAAGTACTTGATGCAACACAGCAAGTCGGATGTGATAGTGCAACCTTACTACCTGCACGCCGCTGCCGCCGCTGGTGATTTGGACAAGATGAATTTCATTCTAGATTACGATAAGGTTAAGTTGCTTGATATAGACAGCAACAACAACACAATCTTCCACACGGCAGCGGCAAACAACGCCTTCAACATCCTCAATCATTTCCTCAAGAAGGATGACGACTTCACAGATTTGCAGAATAAGGAGAGGGACAGCGCAATGCATCTGGCCGTCAGAAAGGGCAACATGGAATCTTTTCAAGTTCTTATGGAGAAAAATGCGAGAATTGAACTTGAAAATAATCTGGTCCAAAATGTTTTGCATACGGCCGTGTCATCAACAACAAGCAACCCAGAAATTGTTGAAAAACTTGTAGAGAAAATGAAGCAAACTTGCAGTCCTTTTTTAAACAGTCAGGACATAGACGGCAACACGGCTTTACACTTGGCTGGCAAATATTCAAAAGCAGATTTAGTTCAGTTACTCTCTGATCTGGATCCTGAGATTGAAAACCAGGATGGAGAAACACCGCTGCACGTTGCAGTTCGATACGGAACGATAAGAGAAGTGGAAGCCATTCTCGAAACATTTTACAGCTCAAAAAGGACAAACATCGACCACAAAGATGAGCTGGGACGATCAGCTCTCTTCACGAGTGCCGAGAACGGGGATGTGGAGATGTTTGAACTTCTATTGAGTCATGGAGCTAATATGACGCTGAGAAACAACGTAGGATGCACTCTGCTGCACAAGATGATCGAGAACAATCAAACTAATTTAACTCACTCAGACAAATTCATCGGCATTTTTTACAAAATTGTCAAGTGGTCGGTTAAATGGTTTTGTAGGAAAATCGGCCAGCGAGCGCCAATAGAGAACACGAAATCGTACTACGAAATTCAATTAAAGGCTGTGCGCTACCTGACGAATGATTTGTATTATAACGGGTGCAATGTTTTGCAGTACGCTTCAAAGTTAGGAACTGGAGACCTGTTGAAAGCGATGTTAAGGACTCCGAACGTGTACAAATTTACAGTTGAATGTCCGCTAGGAACGAACAAGGGTCAGTGGGATAGTTCCAGGAAGAATCGAATTTTAAGTTTGGAGGAATATTTGCAGATGAAAAAAGATCCAAGCGAGGTTTTGTACGATGTTTCTTATCTCATCCCGTCCACCAAACCGAAACTGACCGAGCCAACTGCTCTTGAATTGAACGCGAAGACAGGTTGATCATTTATTCTCAAGCAAACATTCTTTTGATTCAACTAAAAACTGTTGGCTTAAAATTTTTGTAAACTATCATATAATCCCAAAATAAATTTTCAATGTATAAAAATTTAAAAATCAGTAAAAAATAAATTAATCTGCATTTTTTTGAAACAAAATCAGGCAGCAAGCTAACGAAACAAGCGGACAGTGTGCGTCCATCAGGTCCAATGACCTCCTGTCTGGAGCACATCGTGATGACTAACGATGAAAAATACATCAACGATGTTCTCGACGACGAGCCCTTCAAATTTCTCGTCTCCAAATATTGGACACTGTGTCGGAGAGGTTATGAGGTTTTGATGTGGATTCACGCCGTCCATATGATCCTCTTCACTTACTTCATCATGCCTTCCAAGGAATATCTACATTATCGCTTTCATCAGCCCGTTGACGCTAACGGAACCAACATAGAAGACGACGATAAGGACGGGAAGTTCATCTACAGTTTGAAATTTTTTTGGTTGTTCCTAATTTGGCCAGTTTTCGTTCTTTTATACGAGATTATTTTAGGCATATTTTTTGTAACATCTCTCAAAAATTCACAATTCCAATGGAAGAAAGGACTGTTTGGAAAATTGAAGATAGGCGAGATAACATCCGGGTTGATGAGAGTTCCCATTGGTCTCATGCTCTTCATCTTCGACAACCTGTCACATATTTCATCTCTTACGTTCAGCTTATCGGCCATCGGATGGTTCTTCATGGCGGCACTGACGGACAATCCACATTCCTACCTCGAATGCTTGGCCATTGTTTTAATATTCGGCTGGCTCCATACAATCAATTATGTGAAAGGCTTCAAAGATTGGAACGCTCTTGCCAGCATTCTCAAATTCATCCTCATCAAAGACATAACTTGCTTCATATACATCTTCATTTTCGTGCTAATTAGTTTTGGATATGCGATGCACGTTTTAATACAAGCTGACTACAACCTGAGCACAGATTCTCGCCAGCCAACCAGCACTGTCTACCTCACTTTCTATCGAATGCTGAGTCCCGGCAACATTTTAGATATATCAGAATCGTCGGATTATAAAAATTCTGGGGGTAGGGTTTCCATTTTGAGAGCAATCTGTGCAGCTTACTCCGTCCTATCTACTGTCGTCCTCATGAACTTATTGATCGCCATGATGAACAGTACCTACTCCGAAATCAAATCCAACAAGTCAACGGCCTGGAGGATTAGCAGCTTGAAGCTGGCTCTCTGGATCGAGCAAAACCTGCCAAAGTTTTTCATGAAACGAATTTTAAAGTTCAAAACTTTTTACGACGACACGGAGAACAGATGGATGCTGGTCAAAACGACAGAAATCGACAAGGATATTAATTTCTGGAATCAATTCGACAGTAAAGATGGAGATAAAGAGCAGATGAGCAAAGAGGAAACGCAGGCGCGTGAACGTCAACAGAAACTCGAAGCTGCGAAACTTTTAACCACCGGCGTTGAAAATCTAAACGCCCAAGTCAGCGAAATACGTAAAGAATTAGATGATAACAATTTTGATAGCAGGTTGATTAAGAGCATGGTGGTGGAGATGAAGATGGAAATGAAAAGGATACATGAGTTGTGCCTAGAAACCTGTACCTTAGCCAAAATGAACCGGAGACTTGATGAAGGGCCTGACAAAAAATGAAGTGCTGTATAAAATAATTTTTTTTTCTGTTTTTTATTTTATTATGAGTAATTAAACATCTTGATTGATTTTTGATTAGTTATTTCATAAAATCCTCGAAATTTATTCATTTTTTCAGCTGGTAGGGTAGCTTTTTTGCTCGGTAGCTCTTCATTGCAGGCCTTTACTTCATTTTATTAAATATTTAGGTAAATTTGATCATTTAAAATCAATTTTATTTTGTTAAATTTATTTTTTTAACTATTTAAAAATATTCAGTTTAATCGTCGGACCAAAATTTTTTTTTGCCTTTTCTAGATTTACCTATCTCACGTAAGTTTCGTTACATTTTGTGATAATGTTAGAAACTGTTTTGGAGATTATTATTTATTATTATTATTTTTATTTTTATTATTACATATTAATTAAAGAATAAAATGACTAATGTTAATAAAATAATTTGAAAAACCATGTTCGTCTTTTACACAACACCGCGTTTAAAATACTATACAGAAAAGACGTTTCCAATTGTAAGCCAGCAGTCGAATTAATAGATAAAAGATTACATTTTTTACTAAATATTAATAAATAAATATTAAATAAATAAAGAGAGAAAGAACTTAATTAACCAAATTTTTATAATTAATTACTTATTGATCCATTTTTTATTCCCAAGAGTGTAAATTATACATCTATAGATGCTATTTTTACCTCGTTATTTTGTTACTTGATAATACACTACTAGGGATTTCACGCCTCTCGCCTCTCTCTCTCTCCCTCTCTCTCTCTCTTTCTTTTTCTCTCTCTATTTATTTTTCATCTGTGCTTTCCTATTCTGTAAAAGAATCAATGTTACGTAGTATAGTGCTAAGAATTTACACGCCTTATTCTCTCTCTCTCTCTCTCTCTCTCTCTCTCTCTCTCTCTCTCTTTCAGTTGTTTTGTCTAACAATCCTTTCAGTGTCAGCTTGAAATAACATGCAAATTTTAGGTTGTAGAATTTTTTAAATTGATTTTCGTTTACCGAACTTAGGTTATTTTCATTTAACGATATCATGTAGATTATGTCCTTAAAAAATTAATTTTATTTGAATTAAATATATAATTAATGTATTGTATATGTAAGAGTCAATCGACATAAACTTTTCTTGCCTAGATCACAGGGCATTCATTCTATAAATACCATTACTATTTATCTACTCAGTATACACACATGTGGCGTGTATTAGCATTTTTTGTATATACACTATGTGTAGTACATACACATATACATACAGAAAAACACGGAGAAACACACACACACAATCACACAATATAAAATGAGTAATCGATCACATACCGTCACGAAGTTTGCTATGTTTGTAGAAAGCATTTCAGCTATCAAGTAATAAATCGTAGTATTTATAAGTTTATCTAATTTTTTAACATTACTATTTACCAAATCTTCAGCAAATTTTTTTAAAGATTGGTTGTCATTCGTTTAATTATGATACGTTAAAACTTTTACTTATGTTCAACATTACAACTAAGTTCGTAGAAAAGAATCGGTTTCAATCAAAAACCGTATTTACCGATGTTTGCCATAAGATTACAGCCATCCTTGAAAAGTTTTACAACTTTAGTTAACTTTTATACATTGTGTATTTATTTTTAACCTGGATTTTTTTAATTATTTCGTCGTTTTATCTGATTAAAAATGAAAAAAACGTTTTTGGTGATGACTATCTTATTAAAAGTTGTAAAAATTTAAATATTTTAAATTAAATACGTTGCCGTTTTAAATCATAAATCGATTTTAAATCAATTGTTGATTGCTACTGAATTTTTTCATCTTGATTTTGATCTTATTAGTGCTTTATTAGTGCAGTCAGTTATCTGGAAATAATTCTTATTGTTTTTATTTTGCTGGGTTTATTTTTTATTTTTGTTGTTATTATTATTGTTGTTTTTGATTCAAAATGGCTGAAAGTGCAGCAGCGATGGATCAGAAGATGAAAAAGAGAGTCTCTGAAAGTTTGATATTTTATTGTTTCCACCATCATCATCACAACAATTTCATTATCATCATGATGACAATCTCATCACCATCATCATCATAATTCACTATCATCATCATTATTATTGTGTGACAGTTGCGAAGTCGTTCGACCAGAAATCAGACGAGTCCTATGCCCGCCAGGTGCAAGATGAAGAATGTGAGTGCACATCATCATCATCATCACTGACATCATCATCATAGCTCTATCATACTCTCTAAGATATCCTTATTATATCTCAGTACACCGTCAATTCGTCACACTCCTGAATACTTTCACTGTGATGCCACAATACTGACCTATCTTGACATCCACCCACTTTAACCTTTAAGAATTCCTCTGGTGAACCATCAACTTTCTATATTATACCCCTTAGATACCCTCCTATTTATACCCCTTAGATACCCCTATTTATACCCACTAAATACCACTATTTATACCCCCTAAAGACCCCTATTTATGTTCACTATAATGCCACAAACAGACAACAAAAAATATGAGTGGAATAAAGATGAGAGGAGGGTAGCCCGTACCGACGTGCCCCTGGCCAGACTGGCCTACAACGAAGAGTTGCAGGTGCAGCAGGAGAGATACAGGAGGATTGAGAGTCTGAAGAAGTTGTTAGTTGGTTGGTTGGTTGGTTAGTTGGTTGGTTGGTTGGCTGGTTGGCTGGTTGGTTGGTTGGTTGGTTGGTTGGCTGGTTGGTTGGTTGGCTGGTTGGTTGGTTGGTTGGTTGGTTGGTTGGTTGGTTGGTTGGTTGGTTGGTTGGTTGGTATCTTGGTTTCTTGGCTTCTTGGTTACTTGGTTGGGCCAGTTTGGAATTGGTTGGTTATTTTTTTTATTTTGGAATTTTTTGAGAGAGGGTAGTTTTTCTGATTTGGTAATTTTGATTTTAAAGATAAACAAAATTGTGATTGTTTTTGATGTGAGTTCGTAATTGGTTAGTTTTGTGATTGAAAGATTGATTGATTGATTGGTGGAAGTTTTAATGAATGAATGAATGAATTATTAATTGATTGAATGAATGAATGAATGAATGAATAAATGAATGAATGAATGAATGAAACAGAGCGGAAGCTGATGAAGAGTTGGCTAGACAGATTCAGTCAAAAGAATCGGAAAGGGTGGAGCATCAGTTGAGAATGCTTGATGAGGTCATTCAACTTCCCACCATACTACTTACCATACAAGATGTACATGTACATACATACATACATACATACATACATACATACATACATACATACATACATACATGTATGTATGTATGTATGTACATACATACATACATACATACATACATACATACATACATGTATATGTTGGTAATAGAATGTTTGGCGTTAATATGTTTGTAAACGAACTACAAACATATCAGTGCCAAACATTTGGTAGAATTTTTAGAATATTGTGAAAACATGTATGTATGTACATCATCATCACATTCACTATAATCTCCGGTCTATCTACCATTATTTTGCAGAGTAGAAAGATGGCTCTTCTGCTTAGCAACTCTACAATAACCAACAAAAACAACAACAACAGACCACAACACAGTCGTAACATCAACAACAACACCAACAACAACACCAGCAACTTTAACGATGAGGAACTTGCTAGGATAATCCAAGAGAAGGAGAGGCTGGAAGCTGAAAAGTTGAGAATACAGCAAGAAATAAGAGATCAGGTACATTTGTATGTATGTGTGTTTGTTTGCATGTTTATATGTGCTTGTATGTGTGTGCGTGTTAGTTTGTTTGTACGTATGTGTTTGTTTGTATGTGTATGTGTGTGTGTATGTATGTGTGTTTGTACATGTGTGATTAATTGTGATTTTATTTACCTACATTCAGTTTTGTTGAATCATAAATCATATGCACACACATACATACGTACATACATACATACATACAAATAAACATCAGACAACCAAGCTATTATTGTTAGCTATTTTTTACACACACGCATACATATACATACATACATACATACATACATAAACATACATACATACATACATACATATACATAATATTCATAAGCTTCTTGTAGTTTTTTTTTCATGTTAAGCATGTTATGTTAAATATATATATATATATATATATATATATTTATATATATATATATACATTCATCTATTCTATCATTCATTCATTCATTCATTTATTCGTTCATAAATGTAGATTGTTGTCAGCTGTTGATGACAAGTTCAGTTGGTGATTCATCACCTTATTGTGGGAATGTGTTCTTTGTTATTATTGTCATTGTCGGTTATCATTATTATTGTTATTATTATTACTGTTATTATTATTATTATTATTGTTGTTATTATTATTATTATTATTCTGAACAGAAGTTAGCAATGGACTTATATAATGATGAAGTCATGAGGAAGCGTGAAAATGCAGGTATCCATGGATGACGATGATGATGATGATGATTAATAATAATAATAATAATAATTATGATTATAATAGCGATAATAATAATTATAATTTTGTAAATTCATTTGTTTAGCCTGGGAATGAATGAGTTTGTACAGGAAAGAATGATTGAATGAATGAATGCGTGAGTGAATGAATGAATGAATGAATGCGTGAGTGAATGAATGAATGAATGACTTAATTAATTCATTGTTTCAGACAGAAGACATAGTCACCATCATCATCACCACCAAGGAGGCGATATAAATGAAGGGTACATTCTGACATTTCATTCATTCATTCATTCATTTATTCATTTATTCATTTATTCATTTATTCATTCATTCATTCTTACATTCATTCATTCATTCGTTCATTCATTCACATTCATTTATCTGTACTTTCATTCCATCAGAAAACTTGGTGGCAAGGTGATATCCTTTAAGGAGTTCAGTGGCTTCCATCTGGACGATGATGGAGAGATGGACGAAGAGGAGAGGAAAGAGATCATGAGGATGCAGGATGAGGTTATGATAATGATGTCGTTGATGGTGGTAATGATGATGATGATGATGATGATGGTGGTGGTGGTGGTGGTGGTGATGATGATGATGATGATGGAGATGTTATAGTGGTTTATATTTAATATTGTGATGTTTTTTTATTCATTTGTTCATCTGTCGATTTTGTTTTGCTTTCATTCATTTATTTGGTCATTTGTTTATTCATTCATTCGTTCGTTCATTCATTCATTCGTTCATTCATTCATTCGTTCATTCATTCGTTCGTTCGTTCGTTCATTGTTTTTCTTTTTTTTGAAGGAGTTAGCTAAAGCACTACAAGAATCTGAAGAGATGGTTAGATATTTTGTTGTCTATCTGTTTATATGTTTGTGTGTGTTTGTTTATATGTATGTATGTGTGTGTGTATGTATGCATGTTTGTGTGTGTGTGTATGTATGTGTGTGTATGTGTGCATGTAAGTGTGTGTATGTACGTTTAAACAGAAATTAAGACGCAAACAACAAGCCCAACAACAAGATGAAACTGAGAGGATGAAGATGGAGAGAGATGCCGAGTTTGCCAGGTTCATTCATTCATTCATTCTTTCTTTCTTTCGTGGGCATTCATTCATTCATTCAACTGAACAGGTTACTCCATGAAACTGATAAGTTGAAACTGCTTCAGAAACAACAGAGCGCTCAGGTATGTTAATTAGCCTAATTAGCATAAATTAAGCTTAATGAATATTGATTAGCTTATTCACCCCCTCATTATAATTTATCACCATCTCACCTAAACAGCAGCCTACAGCTCAGCGGTCACTCTCTTACCAAGCTTGGTCAGCAAGAACTTCTACAACTACTACTACAACTTCCGCTGAGAATGATGATGATGATTTCTATGATAAATCTAGGTCATGATGATGATGATAATGATGATAATGACGTAAGATGATGATGGTGGTGATTTTGATTATGATGGAACAGTTTTTGTTGATGTCAAACGTGTTACTATGATGATGATGAGGATTCGTTCATTGGTTACCGGTTCATGCATTCTTTCATTCGTTTATTCATGCGTTTATTCATTCATTGTCTCTTCTTTCATTCATTCGTTCATTCATTCATTCATTCATTCAGTTACCTATTTATTTCCTTGCTACCTCTTATTTATTTATTGTTTTGTTTCACTTATTCAATTGTACTTATGCAGTCAGTCACTCACTCACTCATTTTTTTCATTCATTCTTCTAGAAAACCAGCTTCTCACTCAGTCAATCTGCCGTACGGTCGTTCGTCTTCTCTCGCTGCAGCAACAACCACCACCACCAGCAACAACATCAACAACAACAACAACAAAAATGACATCTATAAAAACATGGTCTCTGCTGCTAATAACTCCATGACAACAACAACAGTGAATTACGACGACGATAACATTAGAAATGAAAGAAGAAACATCAACAACAACAAAAGCAACAACAACAATAAAAGCAACAACAGCAACAAAAACAGCTTGTATCTCAACTACACGACAGTAAGCAACATCAACAACAACAGCAACAACAATTTGAATCGACAAAGCAAAACTCAGTCGCTATCATCGCCCCCGTCATCATCATCGGCACTATTTAGACCGTTGCCGAACATACCGCAACTGCAACCGCAACGAGACACTGCTGATGTTGACAGTATTTATATGGGACCAGATGCCGTCTATCAGAATTTGTCAGCTTTTTTTTAACGTGCTTGCTATAATAAATTTTATTTTTATATCTGATTATAATTAATAATAACAATAATAATTATCGTTATTATAATAATATTGATATTAATTAATAATAATTAAAATAATTATATTAGAATTTTTTTTCTATGTAAAGGGGTGAAAATGTTAGAGGTAGCAGAAATGTCTCAGGACCCAGAGGTAATGGCTGAAATAATAATGATAATAATAATAATAACAATAATAATAATTATAATAATAATATCAATAATAATAATAATAGTAATAATAATAATAATATTTATAATTTTAACAATAGTAATTTTAACAATCTTATAAATCTGTCTTACTTTTTCAATTCAAGATGAGGAGCCCTCGTACATACGGCCGAACGTTAACCTCAGGGGCAAGAAGAAATCCAACAAATAATAATAACAATAAGTGAATAATAATAATAACAATAAATGAATAATAATAATAATAAATGAATAATAATAATATAAAAGTAATAAAAGCAATGATATATGAATAATTATATAGTGAGGAATTCAAACTCTTTTCCAACCAATATTTTTACTTAATAAACACTTTTTAAAGATTCTATACATACATATGGTCTTGGATAGCCTGTGTGATGCATTTATTATACGTACATTTTACTCAAATATATATATATATATATATATATATATATATATATTCTCATTTTTGACTTAGTTTTTGTACCATTTCAATGTATTTTTAATTGTTTTATTTAGTTTTTATGCGTTTAACTAGTACAAATTTATTTTAGACCTAAACGTTCTTCCAACAAAGCTTTTAATTTCGTATGTGAAGATTGTTTCATGCTACGTACTAGCAACTGTTTCTATCGGTTTAAACTTAAATTTTCTCGCTAACTTAGTAATAATTACTTTCTTTCGTCATCCTAGCTATGACCAACTCTATGCCCTATGACCTTTACCCTATGACCAGCTAATTTATGACAGTTTTTTCGCTACCCTCATCCTACGTTACTATCTCTCCTTTTTATTTTACGAACT